GCTCCGCTGTCCACCAACGTCAAACATTCTGGAGTTCAAAAAAGTGAGCACAGATTACAAAATAACGAAGGTCTCGAATACGCGATCAATAGTCGCCGTAAGCTAGCAGACAGCAAAAAGTTAATTGAAGGTAAGAAAAAGTGGAAGACGAAGTCTGTTCTTACTTGAAATGCAAATCCTTGTACGTGAAGTGAGTCTCGACAATTCCAGTTGTTTTAACTCGAGTACGTAACACGTCATCCTTGAAACAGTGCCATTTCATTCATGTTAGACATACGAACAACTTGGTTCAGAACCTGTGTGGGTATGTAGTTGGGTTGGGCGATTCGTTCCAGTGAATTGAGATAATATGGAGCAGAATCATTCAATTGATACTCGCGTGATCTGAAAAAAAAAGCCAAAGAATATCTGAAATTCTCGAGCTCATACTTGACTAGCTTTGAAATGTCAAAAACGAAACAAAGAGAAAGAAGTTAGTTGTTACTAGCTGAGTGTCTAATTTCAGTTCAGCGAAGAAAGAAGAAGAATTCACCTTAAGAAGCATTCTTGGATTCCTCCATCTGCCCATAACCGTTTCATAACGCTGGCCAGATCAGGTGGAAGCTCACCCTAAATCCTATGATGTTGCGCGAACACTAATGGAGTGCGGTTATTTTCAATGAATGGCATCCACAGACGTATTGTTCAGATCAATTTGTTCCGTGCAAAGGGAAGAAAAAGAAATATGATAGCTTAGGCTTTTTACACGGGGCGCGACATTCCACTTGAACTTGCAAGGAATACTTCAGGGAAACCTACAAAACCCCGACGTCGTGCATACCTGGGATTTCCTCGTCATGTGAAGATAGAAAGCAAGCTTACAAAAATACAGTGACGATTTCCCGCTTTTTTGTGCTAATTAATATGTCAACGGTAGTCAACTAAAGAGAGCATACCTCGTCACAAGTTTGGCTGATATTGAAGAACTGCTGCGCATCGTCAACACGACTTGGCGATTTGAAGTCGATTCTTAACGTACCCATTGCACGAAGTAACGCCACCATTGACTAGAACAGAGTATAAATAGAAGTCTTCAAGCATTAAGTGAACCGCTCAAAAAAAAGGGTCGCATAACCCAACAACTGATCATTTCACGACGATACAGGGGAATAAATTCGCTTTCCCTCCACTTTCAAAACCCACGGGAAATATGATGTTCTGTTCTCGCCCAACTTCCACCAACCCTACTTACTCGACTTGCTTAATGTGCGACTGCGTGTTGCACCCAAAAAGTGCATGATGCGAGCACATTCAAGCCTATCAGGGTCTAGGCTTCAGTATAGTCAGTCCTAAACTGACAGCGGTCAGGGTCGGCAAATGGACTTTCCGCACTGTGAACGTGGACGCATCGGTTCGGATTCAAACGAGGTGCCTCAAGGTATTACGCACCTTTACGATGTTAATTGTGGAATAGCTGCTTGGAGAGACGGCCTTCGCAAGTTAGAGCTATCTGTTCCAGGAAGGCCAATCCATCAGTTATCCAATGACCCAGACCTGCAACATCTGAAAGAAGATCGTGTAGTATGGCCTCGAGTTTGGAGCGGTCGACGGTAAGGCTGATGTCAGAGTCCGCGATTCCTTTCGCGAATTGCGCTAATTTTCTGCTGGATTTGCGCAATATTTTCGCAGATTTTCGGTGATTGCGATTTGCGCGCGACCCGGGGTCAGGAAATACACACAATGCCCCCCCCATATGCAGAGGTTTCTCCAATCCCGCCGTCACTTCTGCTTGATGGTTATGGTTTAATGGAGACTGCTCATGATTCCACTTGTTTCATATCCAGTGTTTCAATTGTTCAAATGGGGCACTTGCAATTTTTGTGATTGGTTTGGTTTGATTCCTGAAAAAAATAGGAACGATTCAAGAGCATTTCAATGAACTACACAAACATTCGTCTTCCAATCTTTACTGCCAAGCAGAATTCGCAGCAGGATTAAACAACACCTCGCAGTATTCATCGGGCACTTCCAACTCCTGTGATCCATCGCAGGTTTCGCGAAAATCGCGCAAATCGCGAAAATCGCGCAAAGGATCGCGGACTCTGACATCAGCCTAAATGTCCTCCTTCGGACTTGCGACGGGCGGAGTTGAAACGTCGTATGCAAACGATGGTGGGGCAGGAAAGAAGGCCTGCTCGATACCTATGAGGAGACACATCTATGGGATATTTTGGTCTGTGAAGCTTCGCATCAAGCGAGCGGGCAGCCCTGTCGGATCGCAAAAGTTGTAACGTTATGTGCACGCATGGACACGAGTGAGCTTTTTGTGCTCAACTCTTATATTAGTGACCTAATAAATGGACACCTACATAGAAGTATCACGCGCTCCACAGAAGAAGAGAGGCCGGGATAGGGGAGTACTTAATGCGGTTCTATCTGGGAACCGTATCCACCCTAAAGTGACGTTCCTCCTAGCCTTTTATTCTTAGTGATTCTCTTTTTCCGATGTGATTTTTATGACCGTCCCCTCTAGGATGAAGAGCAAGGATCACCTAAGAGTAATCTGGCAGTTCCACGCCCTATCAAAAAGAATACGCCTCATCAAAACCTATCAAGATCGACCCAATTTCATGGGTAACGTTAAAGCAAAAATGTTCGTCTTCAGAGCACCATCAAATGTTGTTCAAGAGTCTAGTCGTGATTTATTTTAGAACAGTCGTAGAGTAAACAAAAAAGTTGGGAAGGTCATCAACCGAAACATTGACCTCTAATCAGAGTACACTTTTGCCGGTTGACAGCGAATGCCTCGGAAGAGCGTACCATCCATCATAACAAAAATCCAAAGTCCTAAGAAGGATATTATTCTCCCGCCTTTTTTTTTTTTTTTTTTTTTTTTTTTATTTTCTATTTCCAGAGGAATTGATACACAAATGCTCAAATATCGGCGCTAATGAATCATTTGTGAACACGTTCAATGTTTGCATTTTCTTTTCATATCATAACACATTAAGAAGCAAATGAATGTGAGGACGAATCTGTTCAACATCACAAAAAGAAAAAGAGACACAGCAAAGCTTTGATAAAATTGCTAAACTCATAATTATAATTTATTAATTTTCTGATCGATTTTTTGTGGCACGTTTCCACCATAACAAATAAGATTCAATCGAAACTATGGGATTGTGGAAAGACAAATTCCAAATCCTCATCACTGTTCCCTAAAATCCATGCTGTTCAAGTCCCCTTTTGGATTCCTCCTTGGAGGACTTGTCACAAACAAAGCAGTCATTTTGTCAAATGTTGAAATCCCTGGGGACGAAATTCGCTCCACTCTTCCGTTTCACATCTTTACCCTTTACAAAACACTTCCACTGGCAATCTCACAACACATCCTCGAAACAGATGCCCTCGTGCAGTTCGAGGCTTGTTACATTCTCATAAGATATCGATAATAATAATTCAATAATCTCGATCTATAATACAACACATGCGGATCACAATAAGGGTATGGGTATTGGCAACTATCGCAAACCTATTCTCAATTTACTAACACATTAACTATTCTGTGTTCATCAATCTCTTGATTGGAATGAGTCACCCCTGAACACAACTAGGACTAAACAATAAGCTGCGTATGCCAGCCCAAGTACAAGCCAGCGTTTTCACCTTCCCAGACAAATCTGGCACCAATTAGTAGACCCCAAAGGATAGAAGGCTCGTTGGCCTGAACTTCTCATTATCCAGAATTTGACACCTGGACCGTGCACATGATAACATAGTCACTTGTAAATACACTACTTCATACTCTACTCAAAAATTACCAAGAGAGTTTTTCCTTCGACAATGGCAACTTTGATAGGTGAAAAATTACCGCATAAGCAGTAGCTACTCATCAGTGGGCCTCAACGAGCTTCAAGGGGAAAGCAAGCCAAAAAACGGCAGACCACGTCAAGAATAAACAATAAAACAGGTTGGACTTCATCTTCAGCTCTTTGAATTAGCATCGATTTAGTATGCAGAGAATTCCGTTACAAAAGAACGGGCAATAAAAATAACTGTTTTCCTCAAGCAAAACCAAAAGTACACAAAAATGCGCACGAATACAACGAAGTGTAAATTTACCTGTATAGTGTT